GGAAGGAAGGAAGGAAGGAAGGAAGGAAGGAAGGAAGGAAGGAAGGAAGGAAGGAAGGAAGGAAGGAAGGAAGGAAGTTTTTCTGTTGCTTACTTGGTACTTCAATGATCTAGCATATCCTCCAGCCATTTATCTCTCCCACTCAAAGAGGCACAATGGTGGCTAAAGGAGAGTTTTTGACAGATCCTTATTCGTTTTAGATGTCCTCCTGAGCTCTCCAAATCAAGTTCAATATGGAATGAAAGATTTCATCATTTATCAAAAGCATTTTAAAAGGATAGGCTCTGTGATTAGAATCTGAAAAGGCAAATGATTACAGAAAAGGGGCTGATGATCAGTGTGGGTAGAATTGTGCATAAATATTCAAAAACTGTCTTGTTCTAGATGACTTTATCTAAGATAATGGCATCATAGTTCTACAGCTGAAAGCCCTAGAACCCATTAGACTGTGAGATTCTTGAGAGCAGTGACTGTCTTTACCTTTCTTTGTATCCTTAGGGTAAGCACTAAGTTCAGGGCACAAAGTAGGCCCTTAATCAATGCTTGTTAACTAAGCTGGAAGAACCCTTATAGAACCCTTGTATTCCCTCATTTCATGGATTAAGGGTTAGGGAGGTTAAGGTCACCATGGATTCTAACTTGGATCCTACATGTCCAATTTCAATATTTCTTCCTCTGTACCATGCTGCTTAATCTGTTCCCTAAGAAGTCTGCCAGTTCTGTAGTTAGATAGATGATAATCAGGTTTCCCAATTATCTGATTTGCAATATCTCTTTTTCTCTATCTGACCTATAGCACAATTTTCATTTATAAACAAGTTCAAGTATCATCTAGCCAAAGAAAGCTGTATTCTTCTAAGAATTAGATTGAAGACAAGGGTTCTTCTGCATTTATTTTACGTGGCCAAACGAATAGAATTTAATCAATAGCCAAAACATAAACAAAAGCTAATTAGCTGGCACTATTGTCATCTGAAAATAAGTGGATGTTGTTGGCTGACAAACAGGATATAATTAGCTAGTGGAAAGAGATTTCCAAATCCCCGTCTCTCTGATATTGCTATGCCACATCTGGCCAACAACTGTCTGAGCTGTTTCTAGTTCCAATGCCATGTTCAAGTTCCATGGGGTCAACAAAGGCCTTAGTGAGAAATAGTGACATTGAACACTCTAACTTTAGTATGTTTCTTCTCATTAGATTCAAATACTCAAATGGATTTGTGATCTCATAGATTCCAATGCTCTCTCCAACAATGCAGATGGCAACCCATCCCTTTTTGTGTGACTCTTACATGTCTTTCCTATTGAGATAAACAGGGCAAAGACTCCCATCATCTAGGATTTCAAACTTGGGCATATTCCGGCCAACTTGTACTTTGATTGATCATGTTCTCTGTACCATAAACATGTTCATCATTACTTGCTATTACAGCTAGTAATCATCATGATTAATTAAACAATAAGCATCCAGTACCAAGAATATCCCAGGCTTTTGGAATCTCCTCTCAGACTCCTCCTCCCAGAGGGGAGGAGACCATAAGTGATTCTGTCCTTCAAAGGGGGCAGTGACCTGATCACACTATAAAGCCCCCTCCTTTTTTTGTTGGAGATCATTCCAGAGGAAAATCTCAATGTAAATCTGAACATCCTTCCACTGCCATTAATCTCAGGAACATTATGTAAGAATCATGGAGGATACCAAGAAATGTTAGCATGAAGAGTTCATATTCATTTACATTTCTTTGCCTCCCAAACAGCTTTCTCTGCAAAATCCATAGACCAATACTTCATCATGGCATAGAAACTGAGTACTGGACTTGGAGTCAGGAAGGCCTGAGTTCAAATGAAAGCACTTTGAATGATTTAAAGTTCAATATGAATGTCAGTTATTAATAATATTAAGGCAATGTCTGCAAAGGACATGCTCTGGCCAGGTGATACCAAGCTGGAAAATCCTCCAGTGGACAATGCTAACACCTGATGATAAGCCTTTCCAAACTCAGTTGTACAGGCAACTGTCCATCACAGATCCCGTATATAACCTTAGGTTTTCTAGGTCTGTAACGCCAGCCACAACTTGCCTAGCTCACCAGGGCTCTAGGACACACCTTTAGTGGCCGCTAATTGATGATTACTATCCTCCAAGGACTCAACTATTACTGCATGTCCAAGTTTCAGGGACCATCTGGTCCCATTCCTTTTTTAACCTGTGCAAATATAAGACCCTCTCCCCCCCAGTATATGCATACTCCAGTTGCTCACAAATACTTTGAAACCAAATATCCGTTTGTCTGAAGCCTTTTTTGAATAGACAACAGGATCTCTTTGGTTGTTTTGGCAATATGTTAGCAGTATAATTTCTCCTGCTGATACCTTGGTGAAGCCTAATAATGTTCTGTGTGTTTAAATTATAAATGTATGCATCATGTAGGATTTGCAACATTATGCTTGGCAATAAAATCAAATCATGGGGGAGAATACTTAATAATAAAGCTGTGTGAAGTGTTGTTATTCCCACTCAATTGCTATTTAACTATCTCAGACAGATTAGATGTCTTGATCAAGGTAAGTTGGCACTGAGTCTTCTTTGACTTGGTGGTAAGGCCTACTTATCTGGAGTGTGCAGGGGCACTGTTTGTACACATATTCTAAAAAAGGCAGTTTTTAAAGAATGGCACGATTAGCTGGAGGGAACTCATGCCCAACTCATCTAGGTCTGCTTCTTTTTTAAGAATCTTGTAGCTTTTGAATTTCTAAAACATCATTGGGTCTGAAGTTTCCACGTGTAGCCATACTTCTCATGGAGTTGAGGGTTCAGAGTGTGAAAATTAGAAAAGATGTCAGTCTCTCCTCAGATAAAATTGGAAAATTTTTGAATGTTAAAGATTGAAGGAATGAGATTAAACAAGGGATGGGAATAAAAATGTCCTATCCTAGAAATGACATGTTCTAAATATGTATCACCAACAGCAATAAATATTCATCATTTATCGAGCACCACCAATGCAGAAAGTCCTTCGCTAGGACATGATGATATCAAGAGATTTAAGATACTATCCTTGATTCCTGGCAAGGATAATATTTTGAAGTGGAATAAGAATACACAGGGTACATAGAAATTAAATTAAGCAGTGCAGTCATTTGCTTAAAGTATTAGCAGGAGAAAAATCATATGAATTCATACTGTAGAGGACTTTGAATATCATGCAAAGGGGTTTTGACATTTCCTATAAGCAATGGGGAGCCATTGAAGGTTTCAGAGCAGTGAGGTTGATATTAATGAAGCAGTATTTTAGGGCCATTCCTCTGTCAGAGGTGTATAGGGATAGTTTAAAGTGAAAACTTGATGAGAAAGATGAACAATTATGGAACTATTGGAGTAGTGTGGTAAATCTAGACCGACAAGAGTAGCAGAAGGATGGGAAAGAAAGCAATAGAAGTATGAAACATATGGAGAAGGAAGAGTCTACAGGATGTGGTGAGTAACTGGGGGTGGGGAAAGAAAGAAAATGGGATTCTTGTGTGCCCAGATTTGATGTGCAGCTGAGCCTGTTGGATTACTACTGTCCAAAAGAGCAGCTCACATAGACTATAGTGGAGCTCAAATTATTATGCTTGGCAGACATTCTCAAGCATGGATATGGACAATCCCAAATAAGCTTGTCCACCCAGGTGAATTCATCTAGCTCCCTGAGGTAGTTTGCCCATAGGTGAATGGGAGGCACATCAGGGTGCTGTCCCATTCAAAACCAAGTATTCTGAAGGTGGCTGCTCTAATGCTTTATGTCATTAAGGCAGACAATTGGCAGCCCCTGAGCTGAACATCTTTAGACCAAAATCATCACTCCCATTCAACATGGCTCAGTTCCCTGGGGTCTTGACCATGTTCTTATCCAAGTTAGAGCAAACGCAAAGGTCTTTTGTTGTTGGGTTTTTTTTAGTTGATAATGTTTATTTTGATTAGCCAATATAACCAAATTCACAGAGAAACCACTCACAAAATACATTCTCCCCAAACAGTTCTATCTGGAAAACTCAAGAGCTTAAGAACAGCAATCTATTCAGGAACACCTGTGCCATATGAAACTACCCTGTTCACTGCTTGGTTATTAGTCCTTACTACTCTCCAGCTGGTGGAATCCTCTTCTCTACTGAAACATAACCTTAACAGGTTCTTCCAGTTAACCACTACCCCAAATGCTGTATGCTGTCCAGACCTGAGTTCAAATCCAAACTCAGACACTTGACACTCACTAGCTGTGTGACCCTGGGCAAGCTACTTAACCCTAGTTAATTCCCATACATTCATACATACATACATACATACATACACACATACATACATGCATGCATGCATACATACATACAAATGCTATGCTGTCTGATTAAAACAGAGTTCACAGTAACAATTCTTGTTTAAGGCAGCTCACCAGGAAACCATCATTGCAAAGCCCCCTCTGTTTTTCCTTCTCCAGCCAGAGGTGGCAGCAGAGAGCAAAAAGAACCTTTCAAAAACTTCACCTCTCTCCAGCTCTAGGTGATTCTGAATGGCAATGGCTGCCATTGAATTCTTGGCTTGGGAAATCAGTTCTCCCTCCAACCAATTAGGAATCATTCAATTGAAATCATCTTATCAATTCCCATGGACTCAATTGTATTCTCTATGCTAATGATTCTCAAATCTATTTATTCAACCCTAAATTCTCTCCCAACCTCCAGATTCATATCTCCACCTATTAGACATCTCAAACTAAATGTCCATAGACATCTTAAATTCAATATATCCAAAACTAAACTCATTGTCTATTTTCCCAAGCCCTTCACTCTTCCTAACTTTTCTACTGTCAAAGAGACCACCATCCTACCAGTAACCTAGGTTAGCAACCTATCCTTGATAACCCACTATCTGTCATATTTCCTCCTTCTTATATCTGTATGATATCAAGTCCTGTTGATTCTAACTTCATAACATTTCTTGTATATA